TCTAATGCTAATGCAGCAGTTGCCAAGGTGGTAACTCATGTTTCATTATACTGTACCCTGTATATGTCCAAAGAGAGTAAAGTTGAATATAACTGATTTTTACAGGGTACAGTGTACTGTAAGCTATGAGATTATTGATAAACTACAGTATTCTGAAATAAAGAAAATATCTTAACGTAATGAGTCTTATGTCCAACATCCAAATGATCAAAGTGAGAACAGAGACAGCACTGAGATGATAGACATGTGATTAATGCATTTTACTGTTGCACTGAACTTCCTTTTATAGGATGCATGTGTCGTTCTTAGCTGCAGAAAGAGTGTCTGAGATGTTTCTGTACTATCAGTGCAAATATGACGTCTTTCTGTTTTACATGTCTAATATTAAAGTTATTTGATATTAAACATGTAATGATGCAGGACTTTATCCAGTTCCTCCTCTTCTCCTGATACTGTATGAAGCAGTAATGATCACTGGTGTGTTTTTACCAGTGCTGATCTCAGTACAGTGTTACCCAGCTGATAGAATAAACATCATCAGATCATCTGAAGAACAGAGTGACTGATCTGCTGCACATTTCAATATCATTTTTAACTATTTTAACAATCAAAACCAATTTAACAAAGCTTATTCTTTCAAAAACACAACTTTCAATTTACTGTATTCACACTGAGATTCATGTATAAAACTACTCCATCTGTTATAACTGACTGATGATACAGCTTCATTACTTTACTCTGCCAGCTTGAAAGTTAGTAAACTAAAGACTACACAGATCAAGAGAACAAAACAATTTATAAATTACTCCATAGTTAATAGGAAAAGCTTATTAGCAAACAAAGCAATTATTTACCACATATGGTTGTTTTATGCACATTTTTACCACACTGCTCTCTAAGATCAGATATTTCTCTATTCCTCTTTTACCAGTTTCTCCATTCAGGAGTCTGTTTATTGTCTGTACTGTCACTTTAAGAGACAGTAGAATTTGAGTCATCACTGTTCTTTTGACAGTCTGTCTGCAGTTGGTGAGTTAACAGGAAGAGCGCTGTTTTATCTGTTGTGTGAAATTAGGGACTTGAATTGTTTTAATGTTCACATGCAGCTACACATTTTTATTAAAGATAAGAGAACATAGAGATGTTGAAAACTGAAGAATTCAAGTAAAACACTTTAAAAACACTTACAGAAAACATCTGACACTCATATATAAACTGTGGGATCTGCTTATAAAAAAGATCATGTTTTTATTGGGCTCTGTGGGGAAAAGCTCATGTAAATGCAAACATTAATGAGCATCCTGATATAAAAATAAATCAGTTCTATCTGCAGAAAATGAGCTTAATATATATGAAACCATTTTACAAGGCTGCATATTTTTATATATTTTATTAATCAGAAATATACAATCATGAACATACAGAGATGCAGAGCTGAGCTCCACCCAGCATGTGAATGTGGTGAGAGAACACAATGCAGATCACTGACAGCCTCACACTGATCTTAACATGCTGAGAATAAGAGCTGTTACACAACATTTATATCAGAATGATTTCAGCTCTTAGCATTTCATACTCTTCACAGAGAAAAGATGCTCTGCACTGAATCATACAGATATGATTATATTTACAAAGAAAATTAAGCTTTTCACATTTTAGCAGATGTTTGGATTTATGAAGGTATCTACACGGAGTAATGAGTAAGAACAAAGAAACAACATAACATCTGTAGTTTTACATCTGTCATGGAAATCCTGACATCAGAACAAATCACAGGTTTTAAAAAGGAATAGTATTTATTTATGAAATTAAAGTGTTACAGACCAGACAGTGAAGAGATGAGAGCGGGCTCTGAATCGGTTTCCCTTATATAGGGATTTTATACCCTAAACTAGGTGTTGGCTGGATATCAAATAAGGCAGGTTTGACTGCTGTTCTAATTAGTCTTTGGCAGATTTCTGTTAATATAGCCATATTAGGTTGTGAGTACATGCAGCATCTTCAGGTCATGCTGTACATGCATGACCAGTGATGCCCTGACTAGAATATCTTATGAAAGCAGAAGTAATGGGGGGTGTAGGACAGGTGACCGAGGTCAATCGCTATATGAGGATACATCCTGTTTTTGTATCTAGGTAGCTAAGCACTTCTATCAGTCAGAGAACAAGGTATTTTGTCCATGACCTTTTGCCCATACATAGTCTTATACTCTGCAAGCAATAAAGCAAATACATGGAATTGATACAATTTCCATAACACATCTTAGCAGGAACTGAGTTTAAAAGCTAAAATAAAGAGATCATCATGTTTTGTACATGAAGAACTGATACAGACTCAGACATTCAAGTTTATCTCCAAATAATCAGAGTTACAGAAACACTGAGCTCACAGATATCATAGAGAAACATGAACAACAAAGAAACAGACAACCTCAGAACAAACACCCACAAACACAGTTCAATACAACATCCTTAATCTTAGTCCTAATCCACCATGTTCACTCACACTGGATCATGGTGAAGGGATCTAAAGTGAATCCACTGTATATATGATATATATGGAACAAACATTGATATATATGGAATGAACATTGATATATATATATATGGAATGAACATTGATATATATATGGAATGAACTTTGATATATATACAATGAACTTTGATATATATGAAATGAACATTGATATATATATATATATATATATTGAATAAACATTGATATATATACAATGAACTGTGATATATATGGAACGAACATTGATATATATATACAATGAACATTGATATATATATAAAATGAACATTGATATATATATATATATACAATGAACATTAATATCTATGGATTGAACATTGATATATATATATATATATATATTGAATGAAAGTCGCTGTTGAAGGGTTGAGGATGGCCAAGAAAAACTGTACATCAATAAATGGGCATTAACAAACTCCAGGTGGAGCTTAAAGGAAGGGAATTCTGATAAAGTGACCAGTATCTATACACAGTGATCCTGTGGACAGAGTGACCTGAGAGTGGCTGATATATGATGTGAAGACACAGATGGGTGGAGTTTCAATATATACATAATTTGACATGGTGCAGAAGAAGAGTCAGATGAGGCCATAACTTCTGTTTGAAAAATGCTCTTTTATTGAGAGCAAGGGAAAACAATGGCACTTGAAAAGTGACTGAAAATTGAGGTAGGTCACTCCTAGCCCTACTCTTTCTTCTGATGGTCACCAAACACAAACGCACTCTCCCTAACTCTGAGCTGGACACAACATAACAGAGTAAACACAAACACACACTGTAACATTATATATATATATATATATATATATATATATATATATATATATATATATATATATATATATATATATATATATATTTTATTTTTATTTTTTTAATTATTCAAATTAACCAGTGACTGACCAGAGCTCTAAATGTCAGACTAGCAGTGCAGCACAATGTGTATAAAATGATTTACACTCAGTGTAAATCACTCATGTCTGTTTCTGTGAATGAAGTATTTTTGTATATTGTGCTGCTTTTAAAGTAGAACTCATAAACTTCCCTGCAGTCTGATGTTCAAATGCTGTGTTGAGTAAAGATTTCTAATAGAACCTGCACTCATCTTACTACAGTTACTGAAACACTCAAACACTCTACAAAGGAAAGAAATACACAGTTAACAACATCAATCACAGAATGTGAGAATTCCAAGCTAGGTAGATTCCCTATGGGACCTTGACCCTTGGACCTTTGGACCAGAGGCCCCCTAACTTAAACATTCCAAACTTGCAAAGTCAGATAACACATGGAACTCAGATACTACAATTGTTTAATTCAATTCCCATGTTTTCAGTGTGATTCTGCCCTCTACAGGTGGAGATTTGTAATGTCAGAAAAGTAAAGATCACATCCACAGAAATTTTAGTGATGTGGAGGTGGGCGGTGACGGGGAGGAGGAGCAGTGAGCTCCTTCTTCCTCTTTCAGCTCAGGTGTTCATGCTACCCTTAATGAGATGCTTTGGCAGAGTGGGCACATTTTAAAAGGAGAGAGAGGATGGAGAGGAAAAGCAGAGGGAGAGACGACCAGCCGCTGAAAAAAGGACTGAAAAGTTGTTGTGTAAGAAAAGAGCTGAAAAATCTAGTTAGAACTCACTGAAGTGTCCAGTAGTTATGCTTTATGTTCTTGGTGAAAATTAAAGGAAAATGCTTGCTGTGGCCTCTTGCATCCTTCTTCCTCTTGGGTTAGCACATATTGTGTTACACTGATATTTTACATTGTATCTTTTGAGTCATATTAAAAAAAACACAAAGCACATTTGCAGGTCACACTCAGTGCTCTGTTGGGATCATGTTGGTGTACATTACACAACTTGTTATCTCACTGGTGTCAGTGCAACACCATGACCTTCCTTCTGTCACCAGTTACTAATGAATTTAATGAAATGAATCTGATAGTGTTTAGAAAATGTAAATCAATGAACTGCTACAAAATAGAGTTTAATCAATAAAGACATCTTTATTCACAGAAATCAATAAAGCATTTAAACTCCATGAAGTCAGACTTCAAATAATACAAAGTCAGAATTCATAACTCAAAATAGTCAAAATAAAAATTCATAAATCCCGAGAGAAATATGTTTGTCAAAGAGCACTGAATAAAAAAGAATAACACGATTACTAAATAAAACATTGCTTACTACATAAGTGTAAGAAATACAGATCAGTTAAAAATTGATAAAAAAGACTGGAAAACAAATAAAGATTTGGGTTTCAAATACATCTAATCTAAATAATGTGTCCAAAAAAATGAAAAAAGTGAGAAAATGAAATATTAAACTTTAAAGCTTTCATTTTTCCATGTACAGTAACAACAAAGGCCAGCTCAAGACTTTGAGTCCAGCAGACCAATGTGCTCTCTCTCTCTCTCTCTCTCTCTCTCTCTCTCTCTCTCTCTCTCTCTCTAGCAGTTCTCAGCAGATCTAATCTTTTCTTACTGTGCTGTAAATCACTGAGGGATCTTCCACGTTCTGAGTCGGTGACCTACAAACAAAGAAGGTGACACTTTTAAATTTTAAAACCTAGTTTAAAGTAAGTTAACAAGAACAAATCACAGCTTCACACTTCCCCGTCTTTAATAAACATGTTCACCACTAAACTACATTTATTTAACAACACAAACACAGTTTTATCCAGCAGATGATGCTGAGATGAGAACTGAATTATTCAAACAAGTTCTGCCTCTGAAATTTCACGGTAAATCCAAACGTTTTTTTTTTTTCTAACACTGTTAAACTGGCCACAGTGCTGAGTTCAGTTCTGCTGATATTAAACAATAACTAGCATTAAATAAACATTTTCTTCAGCATCTTTACTTGTTTATAACTCTTCCTAATCTTTTCCACATTATTCTAGGTTTATATTATTATGATCTTTTAAAACCTCATCAAGAAAATAGATGTAAACAAACTTATCAAGCTAATAATTGGCTAATTAACTGGCTGCTCATTGCTGAGCAGTGACTAAACTGGCATAAGTATTTCCAGAGCATATTTCTTTGTGTATTATGCATCATAATATTCTGCTCATCCCTTAACTGAGCACTGAGACAAATCGACACATTGCTGTGAAGTGAAAATTACCATTTGAGTAAACATTAGATTATCAGATTTATTTTACAAATCGTGTTTTTAAATGGATATTTTTAAGAGATCAATAGAAAATCAGTCCTTATCTTTGAATAAAGACGTTTTAAATATACATTAAAAAAAATGTCCTTAATAAACCAGCATATTATTATAAACCAAACCTCAAAACAATGTAAATCCAAAATTGTGAAGGGTGAATTAAAGCCCCAGGCAACCTACAAGCACGAGTGGAAATGCAATGCACACTGCACACGACTGCTAGCCTTTCTCTGGGCAGCTTTATATAAAAGCTCAGTTAAACTCACCCAGTGGCAGCAGTGTGGTAGTGGAATGTAACACTGGCATATTGGGGCTCCCTCTGCTGGTCAGTGCTGGTCACTTCATTATTCTGAATCCTGACTGTATCATACAGAACATCAGCAGCTCCAGAGTCAGCAGAAGCAGCAGCCTGGACAGGTCTGGATCTGCTGTGTGTAATGTTGGTGTAGAGGACATCATCCTGGGAGTGAAGCTTTCATGGAGAACAGTTTAAATGTATAATGTAATGGAAATAAGACAGAAAAGACTCTTATCTTAAACACTTTCTTGAGTTCCAAATTGAAATGCTGTTTTCTGTCATTCTCCAATAATAAACAAACACAGGCTTTAAGTGAAACTGTCACCTACTAGTGGGCAGAATATGTGGTCATTTGGATGGTGGCCACCTTACCTGTGCTTTACTGACCTGCACTAATGGCTTAATCCTGTATCTTTCTTTCTAAGTATCAGCACTGGCTTTTGTCTCTGGTAGAATCTGAGCTCAAGTGTAGTTTGGACTCCAATTTTATTGTACTTACTAAGATAAATTATCTGAGTTGACAACAGAGCATTTTTGTACGTCACTCTGGATTAGAGTGTCGGCTAAATGTCATGAATGTAAATGTACCTGTCTTGCTTTACTGTGATCAGTTACAGCAGCTCTTTTCTTCATTCTGTGAAAACAAAAGAATTAATATATTCTAATTAGTTTAAGGACAAAATCATTATCTGTTAATGTATTGCTACAACCACTAAAAGTTTGTTCATACTGTAGAATAATGTGTGCAAAATTTTGCTAACCTGCAGATGCAGATTAAAGCAATAATAAGGAGAAAGCTTCCTCCTCCCACTGCAATCCAGACTGCAGACAAACTCTGACCTGCAGCAGAGAAGATCATTAATATCACTTTAGTGTGTCATTTTTTTTAAAGGTGGACATGGAAAAACACAGTATATATCTTATAATTCACCACCTACTCTTAACAATGATCATCAGAGTTCCCTTCTGAGCTCCATGTTCATTTTGAGCTTCACAGTAGTACAGTCCAGTGTGGTCAGCAGTGATGCTGTAATTCTGTCCAGATCCTACAGGTGAGGTTCCACCTTCTTTAAACCAGGTGTAGATCTTCACAGGTGGGTTTGCATCACTGCTGCAGCTCAGAGTCAATGAACTGCCCACTGCTATTTCATCAGAGGGATGGATGGACACTGAGACATTCTTTGGAGGATCTACCATAGAAGAAAATTCGAAAAGATATGATACCTTTTTATGTTTACTAAGATTCAGGTGAATTTAAGTTTAACCCTTCAAATATTCAGGGCCCAAAGTTTTTTTATGCACTTATTTTACTCTTGAATAGCTCAAATGGACTGGATTGAAGTCCCTGTAGTTACTGAATAATAAACCTGAGTAATAAGGATTTTGAGGGGTTGATATTTCAGCATTAACTCACATGTAACATTAATCTGCACAGTGGATCTTCTCTCTCCATGTTCATTCCGACTTTGGCATGTGTATTCTCCACTGTCCTCAGATCTGATGGTGGGAATGCTGTAGGTTTTTCCTTCTCCTACTGATGTTGATCCTTAAACCAGGTGTAGTTCTTCACAGGTGGGTTTCCATCACTGCTGCAGGTCAGAGTCACTGAACGGCCCTCCATTATTTCACCAGAGGGACTGACTGAGACTGAGACATTCTTTGGGGGATCTAGATGATTATTTGATTATTATAATTACATGATTTGTATTTGAAAGTTTGAATATTATTAAACATGAAACATTTATTACATATTATCTTGCTTAATTTATGCAAACAATGCTATTAAATAAGACACTGTTTAACAAGCCTGGAAAGCCAGGATACATACAAGTCAATAAATTAATTTACTCTGGGGGAAAAAAGTAATGAGATGACTCACGTCTGACTCTGAGGTTGTGAGCAGTAGAGTGGAGGTGTTGATATCCTCTTACAGCACAGCTATAACTGCCTGCATCCTCACTGCTGACTGTCTGCAGGTGGAGCTGGTTGTTCTTGATGGTCTTTGTGGTTAAAGGATGTCCATTTTTGTACCAGATGAATGCTGGGTCAGTCAGACTGCAGGTGGTTTTACATGTCAGATCTGTTGTTTCTCCCTCTGTCACTTCTTCAGGAGTTTTTACATGGAGCTCTAAGACAGTAAGAGGACCATCAGATTAGGAGAGAAAAGCTGTAAAGACAGTGAACCTTATTCATCCGAGTTATAAACGAGTGTCGATTTAACTAAACTGAATGAAGTTTGATCTTCTCTGCTTCTGATTCAGGAAACTGTTGTACATCAAAACAAGCAGTGATTTGGGTGCAATTTATAAATCAGCTTCAGTTTATAGAAACAAACGAGAACCTTATTTTCATATCATTTGCAACAATTAGGCCTCATAAATACATAATGTAAATGAAGTGTGTCCTGCAGATGTAATGATGGTATATCAATATAACAAAAATATTCAGCAGCTGATGCAACATGAGTGGAGTTTGTGGTTGAGTACAGAAAGCTTTGAAATCTTTATAGTGTTGAAACTACGATGACTGAAAAGAATAAAATGTGAAATTAACAAAATGTAGCCGTTTTTAAGATCTGAAATTGACGTGATTGTTTAGTGTGATTGATTTTATAAAACACTGGCTTCTTGAGTGAAAATATTGCAGTAAATGAGATTCTACTGTACTCAGTAAACTGTTTTTTATTGACTGGCGGTATATTTTACTCAAATATTAAATCAGTAATGAGCTAATTTTCAGTTGAGAACTCACACATGTTTGATGAATAAAGGCCAATGGGGAAAAAAAAAAAAAAAAAAACAAACAACAACAACAACGACATGAAAACAAAAAATAAGTGTTCATAAAATATTCATCTAGTCTGGAACATATTTATATATCATCCTTACATCTCCTTTTTGCATTTTTTTCTTACTTTTTGAATAATTTAAAAATGATCTTTTGCACTTTGTAATACTTTTATTATAAATAGAGAAACAGAAGTAGATTTTAAAAATGTGTAACTCTTCTTCGATAAAGTTACCATTACCATGTTCCAGCAGCATCAATGTGTGTTATTTATTACATTTGATGAATAATTGCTCTTAATGATAATAAATTTAACATTAAAGATCTTTAAATCAATATCTAAATAATAAGACTGTTTTTGAAAGGATTAATGTTTTTCAATGATTTGACATGGAGAGGGTCAAAAAGAAAATGAGCATATAAACTGAATCAGGGGTAAGAACAGATAAAATGATGTAGGAGTGAATCAGAACAGAAGCTGAACATCATTAGAGCAGATTAACAAAATCAGTGATGAAAAAACAACATGAATATTCAGAGCAGTCATGAATAAGAAACATCACTCTGAAACCAGAGCTGTGTATTATAGCTGGACAATGGGATGATTAACTCACCTGTAACTCTGAGCTGAACTCCAGGTGTACCCAGCCATCTTTCTTTTTCTACATTTGTTATGATTCTGAAGTAGTACTGATGCTCATCCTTCTTCATTACATCACTCAGTTTGAGGGAGAAGTGTTTCTGTTCATCAGTGAAATACTCAGCTCTGCCTGAATAAACTGGGACTGCACTCAGATCAGTTATCTTATCTAGGTCTATGAACCAAAAAGTCTCTGTGACTGTAAGATGTTCTGGGTGAGTATAAGTTCCATTCATAAACACTGTGGATCCTTTTAAAGCACATATTCGCTGTTGGTTGTACTTCACACTCCACTCTGTTCCAAAAGCTCCTGAAACATATGATGCATGAAAGAGCTGATTACAGAGTCTGGAGCCCATAAGACAGTCAGAGTTACTGTAGCCTACAGCTTCACTTCTGTCCTCTCTAACTCCAGCAGCTACTCTACAACACTGAGCTGATTCTGAGAGAAACCACAAACCACAACAAACACTGACTCACCGACAATCATGAGCAGAAAGATCAGAGGAAGAGGAGGAGTCATTCTCAATGACCTCATCACAGCAGCCTGGAGGATATTTTTAGTTAATGATAGTTAAATTATTTTTTTTTTACATCCTTATCCAAAGTCATTAAAAAATCCAAAACTTTAAATGCTGACACTGTAATGAAGTCTGTGATTCATTTAATCAGTTCTCCATTTGTTTCATAATTGTGTGTTATGGTAACCTGATTGAGGAACAAGAATTTATTAAATAAAACAGTGATTAAAGTGACATTTCTGAGTATTTATAACCAGCAGGTTCTTCACAAAGGAAGGTCTATACTGAGAATCATGGATCACCTTCTTCATTCAGAGCTGTTCTCCCCCCACACTATAGATTTAAGGCATCTCAAAATGTTCCTCAAACAAAAACAGGACATTTTATTTGCATTATATATGTTTTGTTTATGTTACTTCTTAAGCTTCATGTGATCATTTATGTTCTCCCGACTTTCCCCCAAAACAATTCCACATGAGACAGTAAAGATAAACTGAACTTCTTTGAAACTGAAATGGTAGAAATATCAATAAACACAAATACCTAAATTTGTACTGTATCTTCATCATAAACTATTAAAATATTCTGAATCAAACATACATCTTACCATTCTGTAATGAGGCTCCTCTTCAATGCCCAGGTGATAAATGGTGAGAACAGAGACAGAACTGAGTAAAACTAGATGTGGTTAAAAGATAAGTAGACAAATGAAACTCCCAGAGTTATTAATACACTCATTCCTCTTATAGAATATATGTGGTCATCTTAGCTGCAGCAAGAGATGAACTTTACCATAAACCTCTGCAAGATGCAAAATTATCTCTCAGTGAAACTATGATGTCTTTCTGTTTTACATGTCTATTGAAGTTCTTTAATATTAGACATGTACTGATGTAGGACCAGTTCCTCTTCAGACCTCAGATGGGCAAATTTAATTATTTTCCTTGTGTTTAACTGACTAACAATGTCAGAGTTTGTTGGCTTAAATGTATTTTGACCTAGTAGTGATGTAAGTCTAACTCTGAGTGAAAATCAATCAGGTTAAAGTGGTTTAATTAAGTAAAGTCAACACGTCTGCTTCTCTGTCTGCTCATGTGGAAGAAAAACACTGGACTTTTCCTTTCCCTCCTTTCTTTCAGGCTGATAACCATGTAATGCAATGTTTTTATAGTAACTTCCACTGTAATTTTTTTCTTACCTTGTTTGGTTAGCATGTTAACTGGTTCATTACTTTAAGGTTGCATGTTAGCATGTAAGCTAGCATGTTAGTTTGCAGTTAGCACATTCCCAGATAAGAAGTTAACACCCAGCTGACTTTATGTCACTACTTGTCCACCCCCACACATTGAAAGTCTAGCTAGATTTGGTCTGATATTCTGCTTAATCTTGAGGTGTATTTCAAAAAATAGTTTTATAAAAAGAAGGCGAAAACACTCTTAAACTTCCAGTATAAGTTGAGGTTTGAAGTCCTCTGTATTATCTGTCTTGCAGGATTTGGAATGTTTATGTTAAGGGGCCCCCTGGTCCAAAGGTCTCCCTTAGTTACACATAGATGAGATCAATTTAAAAAGGACCATATGTTCAGTTCCCTTTTTCGTAAACAAGCACCCTATATGTGGTTCAAATCTTACCTTAGTGATCGCTTTGAGTTTGTTAATGTAAATGGTGAACCATCAGCTCTCACAAGAGTAAAGTATGGTGTTCCACAGGGCTCTATCTTAGGACCCATGTTATTTACCTTATATATGCTACCACTAGGTACCATCAGAAAACATTAGAAAACATGGCATCAGTTTCCACTGCTACGCCGATGATACACAATTGCATATTTCAGCGAGAACAGAGGACAAAATTGAACTTAATAAGATAGAGGACTGTGTAAAAGACATTAAAGAATGGATGTCAAGTAACTTCCTCTTGCTAAATTCGGACAAAACAGAAGTTATTCTTCTTGGTCCAAAAGCTGCTAGGGATAATCTGCCTAAGTTAACTCTTAATCTCGATAGTTTCTCAATTGCACCAGGCACATCTGTAAAAAGCCTTGGTGTCACGATTGATCCCAGTCTGGCCTTCGATGAGCATATTATCAATATTACCAGAATAGCTTTCCTCCACCTGCGTAACCTCACCAAATTAAGAAATGCACTGTCGCTACAGGATGCAGAAACATTAGTTCATGCCTTCATCACATCCAGGTTAGATTACTGTAACGCTCTGCTTTCTGGTTGCTCCAGCCAAAACCTTAACAAGCTTCAGTTAGTCCAGAATGCTGCAGCCAGAGTTCTTAGCAAAACCAGGAAATTTGATCACATTAGCCCAATTTTGTGTACCTTACATTGGTTGCCAGTTAAATTCCGCATTGAGTACAAAATTCTTCTACTGACATATAAAGCTTTGAATGGCCTTGCTCCTCAGTACCTCAGTGACCTTATTTCCTATTATCAACCGACATGCCCACTTAGATCACAAGGTGCGGGCTCATTAGTAGTACCCAGAATAAATAAAGTTACGTCAGGGGGAAGAGCCTTTTCATACAAAGCCCCCCCAGCTTTGGAATAGCCTACCAGTCTGTGTTCGGGACTCAGACACAGCCTCCATCTTAAAGTCTAGGCTAAAAACTTACCTGTTTAGTTGAGCCTTTGGTTAATTTGTTTTCCTAACTATGTCCTTCTTATCCCCCCTCCCCCCCTATCCCCCCTTCCCCCCTCTCTTTCCCTGAGCTGAGCGGCTGCCTGTCCTAAGAGGGTCTGACGTGACTGATGCGGCCGGCGCACTGCACAGTGGTGTTAAACTGTATCCACTTATACTGTTTTGTGTCTGTGCTGTTATCCGGTGTCAACCAGAGAAGGATGGGTTCCCCTTTTGAGTCTGGTTCCTCTCGAGGTTTCTTCCTCCTGTTGAGGGGAGTTTTTCCTTGCCACTGTCGCCAAGGCTTGCTCACCGGGGCGTGGACCCGGATTCTTTGTAAAGCTGCTTTGTGACAACATCTGTTGTAAAAGGTGCTATATAAATAAATTTGACTTGACTTGACTATAAGCAGCAGGATATTCTGTTCTGGAGGGGACACTTTAGAATTGGCATGGATCCCCTCTCAGGTACTTTATAGTGCTTCATATGATACTGTTTTACTTTGTAATAAACATCTTATACAAGTAATGCAGTGTGAGCGGAAACTTCATCATCTTCACATCATCGCTACTTAAGAAACAACAACAATCACCAGTGGGCCACCTGGACACAATCTGAGCAACAAGCGAGTGGGTCACCATATTTGCCATTGGTGGGCCAATAGTGGCCCACTACCCTACTGCAGACTGGGTTAGTTCAGGCATTAGCACATTGTTAGCACCTTAACTAGCATATTAGTTCACGGTATATGTGTTAGCATCATTGCTAGCATGTTAGTTGACAGTTCACAGTTGACAGACACAGCAGTGCTGCTGGAGATTTTAAACACCTCAGTGTCACTGCTGGACTGAGAATAGTCCACCAACCAAAAATATCCAGCTCAACAGCGTCCTGTTGGCAGCATCCTGTGACCACTGATGAAGGACTAGAGGATGAATAACAAACTGTGCAGCAGCAGATGAGCTATTGTCTCTGACTTTACATCTACAAGGTGGACTGACAAGGTAGGAGTGTCTAATAGAGTGGACAGAGAGTGGACACAGTGTTTAAAAACTCCAGCAGCACTGCTGTGTCTGATCCACTCATACCAGCACAACAAACACTAACACCACCACCACGTCAGTGTTACTGTAGTGCTGAGAATGATCCACCACCCAAATAGTACCTGCTCTGTGAGGGTCCATGGGGGTCCTGACCACTGAAGAACAGGGTAAAAGGGGGCTAACAAGGTATGCAGAGAAACAGATGGGATACAGTCTGTAATCAAAGAACTACAAAGTGCCCCTATATAGTAAGTGGAACTGATAAGATGGACAATGAGCATAGAAACAAGGAGGTGCTCATAATGTTATGCCTGATCTGTGTATATCTGCACTTTATGTAGTTCTGTGTTATGTGCTGCTGTTTTGTGATGCACTGTGTGGCCTGAAGTACTTTTACATTAATAACATAAAACTAGTGGATATGTACATTTAAACAGTGGATTTGTGTCTGTATGTTTCTATGGCCTGTTTGTAGTGTGAAGCTTGGCGTGTAACTTTTATATATGTCATGTCTTTAGCCTGGCGGGTGCTCAGAGGCCACGTCTGGGTGTGAATGATGTCATTTTCTCCGAAAGTATGAGATGAACAACAGCAGCAGTAGCACATATTTTCGGGATTCTACTTTTAGAACTGAACTCAGGATGATGGGAGTCAGATATGCTGGTTAACTTAATGAATCTTTGTTGCCTATGGTTACTGACTTTCAAAGGAAATCTTGTTTTCTGGACATAGTTTAAGCTGTTAAGTAGGAGCCCAACCCTGTTCTTGGAAATCTACCACCAGTTTAGTTTAATTTCAGTGCACCTGGCTCTGACAACAAGATACTCCTGAAGGCCTTGATTACATGGATTTGAATTGTTACTTTATCCTGTAACAACAACAACAACAACAAGAACAACAGCAAGAACAACAAACAAGTCCAGTCATGAAATAAATATTCCAAAGTCAATGGTCAGTGGTATTATACTAAAGTGGAAGTGATTGGGAACGACAGCAACTCAGCCACGAAGTGGTAGGCCACATAAAATGACAGAGCAGGGTCAGCAGATGCTGAGGCGCATCGTGCGCAGAGGTTGCCGACTTTCTGCAGAGTCAATCGCTGTAGACCTGCAAACTTCATGTGGCCTTCAGATTAGCTCAAGGACAGTGTAGAAAGCTTCATGGAATGGGTTTCCATGGCCAAGCTGCTGCATCCAAGCCTTACATCAACAAGCGCAATGCAAAGCGTCAAATGCAGTGGTGTAAAGCTCCTCCACTGGACTCTAGAGCAGTGGAGATGTGTTCTCTAGAGTGACGAATCACGCTTCTCCC